AAAACATGCTAATTGAAACAGACAAAGAGGTCCACCCCCTGGAATGGAAGTCGTTTGACTTTGTTTGTTAGCCTGCCATGCCACATACCCGTCTTAGTGTCTGAAGTGTCTGTCATTGTTTTTAATTTTCTTTTTTTGGAATGACTATGACCTGGATGACTGAGAATCTTCACCAGCATAACGACTTAGAGAGCCTCATAACCAGGACAAGTCGGCCAACTATGCTGCTCTCTTGAGCTTAGGAACCACAGAGCTAGAGGCGCTCAGGAAAAGAGCTGAGGAGCACAGCAGTAATTCGGAGAGGTCTGCCGGCAAACAATAACCATGGCTTGGAAGAGGGCTAGCAAGAGGCCAACAACTTGGATAGACATAGGACTGCTAGGAAACATTCAAGCCTGCAGGCAGACTGAGCAGCATAGCAGAATGAGAGAAGGCATCCGCTGGCCCATGTATGGGCTGGGGGTAGGACATGAACCAGTCCTTCATGGGCTAAATTAAAATGTTTTTTTTTAAGCCACTCGCCTCCTGTGGAGTAAAAAATGTTTAGATATGTCTGTTCTCAGCCTCACAGGCTCGAAACGAAGGTCATGAGAGATAAGAATGAGTTACACAGCTTCCTTCATGGCATGAACCGGAGGACTTTTGTTTGGAGGAGATTGATCTGGCCAGTAAAAGATATATTAACCTAACTGCAAATGTTCAAGTGTGAGAAAGTTCTTTATGCAGCGGGTGGGTTGGTTCCCCTGGGAGCAGTGTGTGTTGGGATTTTTGTAAGGTATAAATGTATGTACTAAGGTTGTCTCAGTCAGAGCCTGTCTCTCTGTCTGAGGACATTAAATAAATTTCAACCTTATCTCTGGTAAAATGCCTCTGTCTCAGCTCCGTAACTCCCCACTACAAAGAGCATTCCCTGCTTTATTCTTTGTCAATATTATTTTCTCTATATTCCATTGTGATTTTAAAAAGCTTGTCTCCGTAGCCTACTTCACTAAAACAGCGGTCAAATCATAATACTGTCATGATGCTTTTAAGGGATCTGACTCACATGCAGAAAACCACTTAGACAACCAGGGGAAGTTTAACAGGTTTATTGATGAGGACAACAGGAGGTGGAATCTTGAACTCAGAGAGAGCTGTTGAACCAGAACTAGAAATGGAAGGGAAGTTCACAGCGGTTAGTTCAAAGGCCGTAGGAAACAGGATAGAGTTCTTGAGCATGGAGGAAAAAGGGACTCACGTAGGAGGGGATCTCATTTAAAGCCTTGAATCCAGAATGTGTGAGTTCTCCAG